GCAGTAGCAGATGCCACCAATGTCTTCTCCACGCTACACCGGGTAGTTTGAACCATGCATTCTGGGTGCATTGTCTCTGAGCAAATGCTGTTTTTCCATGGACTCCGCTGCCAGGCAGCAGCACACTGACTTGCCTGCGCAAATGTGAACGTGGGGCAATGGGATGCAAGGGCTGACAGAAGTTACAGGCCTCCTGCCGTCTTCCAAGGCTCGTGTCAGCAGGAGGCTGGCTAATGGCACCTGTGCCTTTGTGAAATATTTCCTGTTTCCACGTTGTTTATAGATGCTAATCAGACAACTTTTGGGTTTTGATCACCGATATGTTGAGTCATGCAATTGAAGCACCCTCACGACTGAATGCAACTGATAAGATGGCTTAATGGGTACATTCTCTTTTAGCACCCAGAAGCAGCAGTTAAACAGCTCCCACCATGTTCTGTAAGGAACAGGCTGCTTTCTGCCTCCCTGCCTCTGGCCTCCCCCACCCCTGCTCTGAAGGACGGAATCTCACAGCTCCCCAGCCCCACGCATTAGCAATGGACGGGCTTTCGCAACCGCCTTAGGCCACGTCCTTAAAAACGGGCAGCCTGGGAAGTGAATCGGTGCAAAGTCTAAAACATCACTGCACGACTGTGACAGGGCTTCCTCCTATTACAGTGCTTGGGTACGAGCAATTTATTGGTCTTGATTCCTATTCTGAATATTCATCCTCGTTATAGTCAGGAAAACTTGAGGAAAAAACAAAGGAAGAATTCCAATTTCAGAACAAGCCTATGCAATGATGAGGGACCAGTATCAGTAATAAAGTATTATGATTTGTCACTATCTGGAAGAGCCAAAAAATGCCAATATTCCTCAGGGATATATCTTGTAATTATACTCTGAAAATTGTGCTCTGTTTTTATTGCTAATATTTATGTTCTCCTGCATAGACAAAAGCTGAGTACAAATGTATTTCCTACAACTGAATTTACTGTCTAACTAAGATCAACATTTGCTGGTAGCCTGCAGCCTTCATTAGTTAAACCAACTTGCTTAACAGAAGACATGAAGGCAACAATGAATGGCAATACAGAAGGGAAAAACAAAATACTAAGTCAATAAGAATAAATACTAAAATGTGAAGTCAACTGATGCTTCATAATAGGGATTATATAGGGGTTGTTTAAAACAGCAGAAGCCTTTCTAACTGTAGGAGCCTAAATGTGCAATTAAACCAGTCTCAACATTGCCATGATGTTTCACAGGACCATAAACAGAACAGCCTCAGAATGCTGCTGTTCTGAAGCAGGATGATCAGGGTAATCAATGGCCTAGTTTGCTTAGCGGTGATCAGAGCCATATAGTGAACGAGCTCGTATGAGTCTATAAAATGTCAATCAACACAACTTCAAGGAGAATAGTTCTTGAACAACAGGTTGCATTTTACTCTTTGATATAGTAAGCTTGGCTTGCAAAGACACCTGCACTGAGGTGTTACCCGTAAGAACCCTGAGTCACTTACTGAAAACCAGATGAACATGTAATTTTCTTTAAAGTGTCACTACTAGATCAAATCAATATAGAATGTTATGTTGAAGACAGAAAATTAATTTCAAAATGCAGTATTAATAGGGAATCAGCAAGAAGTATAGTTGTTTTCCACCTTATTCAGTTGTTTAAATGCTCTGGGAAAAACAGGACACAAACTCAATGGCCTGTCGGTTTGCTTTTCCCCACCCCCCTACCCATGTCACTGATGTAATAAAAACTTATCACCTCTCTCTACAAACCTTGCCTTGTATTCAATTTTGAAAATCAATGATCTGGAAGAAACTGTAAAAATCACTTGCAATAAATTTGCAAAGGACATGCAGACTGCTGGAGTAGTAAAGAATGAGGACAGGTCACTTATACAGAGCAATCTGGATCACTTCATGAGCAGTATTTTAATGCTGGTAAAATACAGTGTACATTTCTAAGGAAAAAAAAGATAGGATAATAAGGGGATGATGTAGTGCATTCTTGAAAAAGACTCTGAAGAGGACTTGAGCCATAAAAGTCAGCAACCAAGGCAATGCTTCCACAAAAAAAGGACAATGCAATTTTTGAGGAAAGAGGGGAGGGAGATATTAGTCAGAGTAAGAGGATCACATTATGTCTCTGTACTGTCCTGATGGATCACTATTGACATGTGGCATCTAATTCAGATGTCACACTTAAAAATATTTCAATACATAATAAGTACAGAGAAGAACGTGAAGATTAATTAGTCTTGGTTAACAGTCACTGCCATAAGAAAGTTAAGGAATTCAGTACATCTCAGAGAAAAGGTTAAAAGGCACATAATCATGATTTAGAACTACACACAAGCAATTAGAAAAGCTGATACTACAGAGATCAATATAAGCAATCAAACACAGAAAAAGACCAAAATAACTTAGGGTGGAGCTAGAAATGCAAATAGCAAATCAAGTGAAGAATGTACCTGCAATTAACTATTGCAACAGGAGGTATGAGTGAATTCTCATCACTGGAAGACTTTAAATTAATATTAAACGCCTTCCTAAAATATGTATGTTCAGTTCAAAACAAAGCCACTGAATTTAACAGAGAAACTGCTCATTGAAATTCAATGGCCTGTTGAATTTAAAAAGAAATCCTCATTATGGTGCCTTCCTGACATATATTTATGAGATCTATCTTGAAATATAACAACTAAATGGAAGGGGATTACCAAGAAAAAGGTATTCTTTCTTTCCAGAGCACAGTAACATTTAGGGCTAGATTTAAAGCTAAATAAACTGCAGCTGCATTTTGGAAAATACGCTTCTTTTTCCCCTGTTTATTTTTCCTATTTCTTGTTCAGAGTTGCATAGTCCACTTAGTTGATTGTGTCTGATTTACATAATCATGTAGTTATTCTTCAGTTTTTCTGTTCCTATTTATAAACCATTCACAAACCATCCACTTAAGTAACAGCATGATTTATCATAAGAATGATTATGGTTGTTTCAGAGGGAAAATGGAATGTGATCAAATGAAGAATGAACAAGGACATTCTAGAAATGAAGGGCTCTAATCCTGCAAAAGGATTTGTAAATGAAACCTGCCTCTCAAGCCTCATCCGAAATAGCCAATGAACTACGGAGGGAATTCAGCAGATACCTTTACAGCTGTGCAGCCAAGAGCTTAGCCGAAGACAAAAAACAGATAAAACAAACCACCATGCACACAATGTCTTCTGGAGAAATGGTAAAGCTCCCAAAGCCATCTGCACTTTAAAAAAAAATAAAATAAAATCAATGAACTGTATCTATACAGTTGCTGATATGACTCTCTCAACAGAGGTCTCAATACCAAGGCTCTAGAAGGAGATATCCAAGAGCAAATGTCTGCTTGTATAAGTTCCAGCATCTGAGATAAATGTATCATCCAAGAAAAGGGTTGGATACTTAAGCTGCAGTTCCAGGAGAACAGATTCTTTTCTGTATGCAATAGATGTTTTGCAGGCGCCACAGGAACCCTAATAACCCATGCTTCTTCAAAAATGCTGAACAGTCTGATGGAAGAATATCAAAGTTCAGTCTTTTCACCTGAAGTACTTATTCTCTGCCATTTCAGAAAGAACAAGTGGTGAAAAAATCCTGTTTGTTTACCAGTAACACTGCCGTGTTTACAAACCAGCTACCTACAACGGCTGAGAGGCTCCACAAAGGAGAAGTGATGCCACAGAGCCCCATTCGTCAGAAAAAAACACCATAAAAAGAAAATCCTGAATAGGTATTCATTCACAGTACTGCTTTTAAATGTTCATGTTAGTCTGAAATAAGCAGCAGTGATGGATCACATTCTTGCTTATACACAGATAATCCTGGTCCGTTCAGACACCGCATGCACCAGCAAGAATGTAGGAGATCCCACGCTAAATTGATAGAACTGCTTCAGACATTCCTATGGAGTTACAGAGATGTTCAGAAGAGCACAATATTTTTCATAGTACGTTATCTTATAAGCAGTCGTTCCCAAACAGTGGGGGAGAGATAAGAGTATTTTAGGTGCAGCCAAGCATGAAGCCCAAGAAAATCAGCTTTGCAAGACCTATGGTGAATGTGTGTGAAATTCCCCCCGAACTAGCCTGAGGAGCTGCAGATGGGCTAAGCTGAAGGACTGGTACAAGGCAATGGCAACACCCCTGCTGCAGGGACAGAGTTACCCTGAACACCGCCTGTTTTTAAGGGGAAAGTACTGAACCACTCTTCAGAAGTAGCACTATTATTTCAGATAGAGATAACTCCCCCTAGTACAATTATTTTGATGCTAGAGATAAGTACAGCTGAGACAGCAGCTAGTAGTTGCCCCAACTAAAGGAAAAAAACTTAAGCCTCAATACTTACAAGCTATATGCTAAAATCTACTTTTACTCAAGAGTTAGTAGAAGGCTGAGAAACTTAAAATTCCAGGGACTCTAAGCTAATTATGATGTCTATGGCTGCAACCATGATCTAGGGTCTAGCATTTCTGTGATGCATTTCTGTCTAGGGGTTGATACCGACTTGGTCTTGTTAACCAATGAAATGGAATTCCCATGGCTTTTTCTACAAGGACCAATTTTGCAAGGAGCAGCAATGGGTGTCTGCAACTGCTGCATTTTCACAGATAACTTTGAATCAAAGGAAAAATTATATATACCAGTAGATGTGCAGTCAGACTTCTCCCAGTTTTCCTTGACCAATTGCTCTGTGTTCACCTTTGCTTTTGCACTGTATGGTGACTTATCAGAGGGTGGAGGTGGAGCTCTTCTTTTTTTTCCTCTGCTGTCATTAGGACTTGTAGTATCTCTTTTTGGGCCTAGATGCCTGTTTTTCTGAACAACCATCCCATGAGATCCATCAAAGAGTGAAGCCCACAGGGAAGATGTAGACTCTTTTTGCTGGCCAAGCAGGAACTCATTATCACTCTCTTCTATTTTTCTTTGTATGATATCAGCTAAGCCCTCATGTTTCACTGGAGAATCAATGCCTGTAATTTTAAGGGACAACAATTAACTCAGATTAAAACGCTACCAATGATTTTACTGCTACCTATTTCGTTATTACTGTTCAGAATAAAAAACTATGTCTCATGAAGTCTGGACTACTATTAAGAGTATTAATGGATGAAACTGAAAGCATATGTAATCTTTTCTAAGAGAGAATTGAGGTGACAGGAGGGAACTGTTTTCGTGACAGCTGTCATTGAGGCAACAGGGTAGGCATTGATTATTCTTTCCAAGTAAAAGTAGAAAAAATAATGTACTACTAGGAAACCTATATGTATTAGATATTAAACGTATTTTGTTGTATGGAGCTTTGAAAATTCAGTTTCACGGAAGGCCCATGAAAGTCTATGACTAAATATTCTTGCACTTCCAGCCTGCAGAAAACGAGACATCTTTACATATATCATTTTTCTTTATGCGCTTTGCCCCATTTCTTATCCCTCATACTGAGTTTTCTACGTATACTGCAGTAATACTGGCCTCAGACAGCAGCAATATCTTTCCTACTGCAGATTTTCAACACATTTTTAAACACAGGGTTTTACCTATGAACACTATAACCAAACAGGAAAAAAACCTTATACTAAGGGTGAAACAGAGTTTCTATTCTGCCTCTCACAGATGTACTTGAGTATCAGTACAATTATGCTACCGTGCTACCTTCGTAAAACTTTTATATAGTTGATTTACTGCCTTTCTGCTCTGCATTCATAGCTTAGATAGGACTCTCTAGACTGTTCTGTGCTCTGATGAATGGTAACTCAGTGACCCACACGGCATTTTGAGCATCTTCACAGTTCCAATCTCAAGCAGCAAGCAGTCAGGCATTTATAGTTGTACAGTGTTTCTCAGCCAATACTGCATTGGATCCAGTAAAACAAAGTGACCGACTTTTTCTAGTCTGTAAATATTATTTCTGTAATGAAACTATTAAAATAATCCTGCTGCATACCATTTTGCTCTGTAAAAATACAAGTCTCAAATACATGCTAGCCAGATTTTCCAAGCATACTTTTCAACATCATTACCAAAGACCAAACAATTAGGTAAGTTATGTTAGGTAAGCCTTTAAGTACCTTTAAGAACAGCAAATTAACTTCATGCAACTAGTTAAAGACATTGGTTTGCAGACTGCACTATTTTACCTTTACATTTCCTGAACTTTATACTAGTCTTACGATGAGTGTTTATTTCTAGTGACAACTTTTTTGAATGTGTTCAGGGCTCTCTAGTTACAGCTTGGATTGCATATTTTTTGGCTCAAGGTATAAAAATGTATTCATTATTTGTGCTATTAAAAATTCAGATTTAATATGAACTCCTTGGTATGCAATTGTGTTGCTCTTCCATTGTCTGAATTGTCCCTGAAAAACTCAGTGTTTCAACATCAACACCAGAAGCCATCTGAATACAGACAATGCTGTTTCTGTTACCCTGCAACTTGAAAAGACAAATGCCACTTACTCATATCATGGTAGACGGAGGTTGCTTCTTTTGTCAAGAACAAAGGTGGTTTCCGTGGTGACATAACCTCAATTTTCATAAGTTCTTCACAACAATGTTTCCACTGGCCTGAGAGAGAAAAGAGAACAATGACTGGAACTTAAACACTTCAGCTAGAAAAAAATTGAAGTTACTAGGTTGTGTTAGGAAACTATCTCCCCAAAGCAATACTAAACAGTAAGCATTTACTCTTGTTTAGCAGGAATGCTCAGGACGCATTTGTATTTTCAACTCTGTACTCATTCTCTTAGCACCAAGGTCATAAGCTACTACCTTCAATTTAAGCATCCCAGCAGTACTGTCATACTATGAAGGTTAAATATCACAATTTGCCTTCAAATCCTCAAACACAGTATAAACTCACCAGAAAAAAAAAAAAAAAACCCACAACCCAAAAACCAATATAATTTAAGGTTAGAGAAGCTTCATGAAGTTACTGGGGACAACTTCCAATACACTGCAAGCTGGATGTTACACAACTATATTATTATGTTATAGTAAAGGAATGTTCTGTCTTTAATAGAGGATAACTTGCCTTTTATCTGTTAGCAGACAAGGAAACCTCTTTTTCTATTAATAGATTTTGACCTTAAGGAAAACAAGACACAGTAAAACTACTTTGTTCATACCAATCATTCCAAGTTTTCTGAGCACATTAATTTTAAGAGAATTTTAGAACCAGGGAAGAAAAAAGGCATTTAAATGCCAAGTGACCCATTTTTTCTGAACCTAAGAAAAATGTTTCAAAAAATCCATGGGTATTCTATCTATAATGAATAAGTAGTTCTTTTACCCCACTCTACAGCTAATTTAAAGAGGATGCCCTAGTTTTTGCTTGGTATGTTTCTTTAATTGATAGAACCTTTTCTCATTGTAAATCAGAGCTAAAAAGGGCTAGAAACACAAACTACAATACTGAATTTTTACAGCTTTAATTCACTGATTTTATTGGTGTGGCCTCTGACTAGAGACTGATATTTTATTAATTGACCTGGTTCTGTTTTTCTGACCTGATAAAAATTACTATCAGGAACCAACTACATCTTGTCAATGACAGCATAATAATTGATAGTTCTCTACTCTCAATAAACCTGCGAGTCAAACTACTAAAGCAGAGGAAAAAGAAGAAGATGAATTAATCTATATCATTCTTATAATAAATATTTGGTGTTAAACAAGCAACGCAGTATATACGACTTCAATACCATTTCACTGTTTTACAGGAATAAATTAGTTTCTTCTCTCATGTAAGAACAGTGTTGTTCCAGACGTTAGCCACAGGATCAGGGTATCAATTTATCTCTCATTTATATCATCTGTTACAAAGCCTCAGATACAGCTTTTACCAAGTTCAAGTAAGCAATGTGTATTTGCATGACTGGATTGGCGTGTGGCTACGTGAGCATATTCCTGTGTGACAAGGGGTAGCAAAAACTTAGAATTACCAACAGAATCAATCCCTATTGCAAAAAATTTAATGCATCTGTAATACTGTTGAGCAAGGAAATCACATGTGCCTACTTGCAAGGGCTGGCTGAATCTGCATCCCAGCCAAGACCCCAAATAAATCCAGCATCCTCACCACTTCCCACTAAGGCTTCCATGCCCAGAAGTTTCATACTTGCAGAATCTCACAAAACTAACACACCACTGTCAGGATGCCCACACACAGGTGGACTCTTCCTGCTACAGTGGAGGAAGAGATGGGGAGAATTTAGCAGTCCGTAAAAAATATCTAGAACACTGCTAAAAGAGACCAAGTTCTTTCAAGACTGACAGACATATTGTGCTTCTGGTTTCCTGCAAAAACCCAGACTGAACACGGGGACTTTGGTTTAGTCAAATATTTACCTTCCAACGGCTTAGACCACCACCCAATATTATCCCAAAGAACATTTTTCTCCTCACCGTTGCAAACAAAGGCTTATGAGGCAATTGCAATTCAAACTGTTCAAAGAGCCCTTTGATGTTACATAACACCCCATTTGGAGGGCATGCTGCCAGCCCTGCCTGCTTACTTACTCAGATCACAAAAGTGCTGCCAGAAAGCCTCCATCCACTTATGAAGTTCATCCCTACTGTCAGTAGCAAAAAGTTGCGTCACAGCCTCTCCAGACACGGGGTTGATAACAGAGAAGTTATTAGTTCTTCCCTTGGAGTCCTTATCCAGAGCTCGAATTCTGGTTTCCTAGGAACGACAAACTGTGGCAATGAGTTACTGCTTCAACTCCACACTGATATCACCTTACGGCCAATGACAGCATAACGGAGGTATGATTTGGCTTTTTATCTAATTCAGATTAATTTCCAATTAAAAAAAAAAGGAACTACATGTCAAGAATAGCTTATAAAAATATTTTCTCATAAAACTATTAAAATGGCATAAAATATGAAAAATAAGGGAATGGAGCACAATTATTGCAGTTAGTTCTGAATTACAGAATGTACATTCTGTGCTTTCCCTCCCTCCACCTTCACCAGCTCATCTCACACTGCTTATTCTTCTCCACAGCACTTTAGAGAAAAACCTAAAACAACAGCATGCAGCTCCTTTTCTCTGAACTCTTCATCTGGACAACCACATTGTAACAGCTACAATTTGGGTCTCCTTCTGTACTTCTACTCCACACTGTTTACATAATCTATTCTAAACTTTTATCTATGTTATATTCATCCTAGTGAATCAGGACATTCAGGGTTAATACTATAGTGACAGGAAATTTAAAAAGAAACATACCTAGTCCACATTTAAAGGAGCATTTGTAGCAGTTACCCATACAGTTCTGCTAGAACAAATTTCCAGCATGAAAAAACATTTTGCTCTAATATAAAAAATCCTATCTGTCATTTCAAAATAGGTATTTTCGTTTTGCCTTAATTAGGGAGAGCTACATAGAAACAATTAGAAATATACGTAAGAAGTATATCACAAGTCTATCAAATTTCTTCAGGTAATGTTAGAAGGGTTCTAAGATTATGCAGCAGCACTGTTATAGCCAAGGTCTCCCCCTCTGTTCGGGGATGTAGTTCAACCGATTTTTATCATCTAGACTAAATCCAATGGTATTTTCAGAATATCTAGTTTCTTTGTTATGGCATTACTACAATTAAAGAAAAAAAAAAAAAAAGCTCTTATGCCTAACTGAGTGGAAAAAAAAAAAATTCATCTGTAAAATACCGAAAGGTTTTAGTAAAAGCCTAATAAAACACAACTGAAAAAACTTCCAGAACACAACTGGTCAACATACCTGCTCATCACAACAAATTAAAATAATTAACACCACTTTATTTACAAAAGTAAAAGCAGAAACCCTGGGAATATCTTTGCATATACAATTCAACCCGACTGAACAAGCAATGGCCTATTACAACACTGCTGTTAAAAGGATTTTTGGCATACCCAGCAGAGCAGCACAATCCCAAATCCTGATGGGATGACAAGTTTCAGCACTCAGGAACCAGCCAGCACCCTACAGCTGGCTGGCCCTGGAGCCTGGCAGGAACCGAGGCTAACCTAACACAGGTTAAGACCACGCAGCACCCTTCTGCTGCACAAGGGTGTCCCTTCGCACAGGGAGTGCCCCAGGTTTTGAAGGAAGCCAACAATCAGGGCTGTGTTTGAATGTCTCCTATCTGGATGGACAGTGATTCTGACCACAAATGTGGCCTTGGGATATTCCTCAAAATACAGTGGGGACATATCAACAATGCTCCTTTTTACACAATTGAACCAAATATCAAACATCTGCTAAAGATGTTAAACAGACACCTACAGAAATTAAGTTTACACATGGGATCCCATGGGGATAAGCCTAGTTCTGATACTCAGAAAACTAAAAATTATTCTACAGAACTTTCCCCAGATTTTAAACGCATTACTGAAGTAACCATTTGAAATACCAACAGCTGCTTGTAGCATATCTGATGAATATGCTCATTTAAATTCTTCTGTCTAAAAATAGGAGATGAAGTAATTCATCCATAAGTGCTCTATATCCCATTAACTCAGGTAACCATAGATACCAGCAAAAAAATTAAATCAAATAGATTAACATTTGACAGGTAAGAACTCCAAGCATACCACACACAAGTTTATTTAACGATGCTTGCTGCAGGTTTTATCCCACAACTATGGTATTATTCAAAGAAGATAAATCCTCAAACAACAATCTATATCTGATGCTTGAATATTTAAGTGATAGCAGATGCCATTACAGCAATGGGCTGATGAATTTACCAAGCTTGGGTGAATTACACTACATGCCCAGTTCCACTTAACAAAAAACCTGCAAACAAAACAAAAAACTCCATCAAAAAAAAAAATCCCGAAACAACAACAGTGTCAATAAGGTACTCATCAGATCAGCTATGAATATTTCCTCCTTTCACCTTCATCGTTTTGTGAACTTGTATTAATGTAACAACCTTGTGGCCACTCCATGGAAAGTATAACATGGAAGTATGACATGGAAAAGCAATATTAGGATTTCTATGTCATTTTAGCTAGCTTCAGTGCAATGCAGCAGCTAAAAACCAGGAGAAGGAGACAGCATTATAAGACCAGCCAGCATCCTGTGGAGCACCAGGGAGCCATAAAGCATAGTTTCCAAACCACTCAATTTGAGCAGGTATGTTACAAGGTCCACTGTGTGGGATCTGAGTGTTATACCTGTTTCCTCTGCCTGCATCCACAATCTCTTTCAAGCAATTGCAGGACTGAATTGAGCAATGCAATGTGAGATACCAGACATTTGGAGGCACTTCGCTAGTCTGTGCTTTTCCAAAGTATTTCACATGTATGAAGGCTTGTCTAAGCCAACCAGTGGGGCAAAGGCCACAGATATTTTCAGGGCTGCTCTCGTTTCACCACTATTGGAGTTCCCTGAGGCACACAAAGAATATTGCTCATATTGCTGGCTCCTTAAATGTTCACATGATCATGAACTCATATTGATACCCTTCTGCTCCAGCCCAAGGGTGACCTCCCTGGTTCCCCAGAAATAGTGCACGGTTCCCTTGAAGTTATGCTGCTGCAGCCATTGCTACATTTTCCAATTAATTTCTCCACCTGACCTAGCCCAGAACAGATGTTCTAACAATAACTGTCATTCCAGGTAACAGTCTGCAGAAATGCCAGCTTGATTTTGTCCTTCCACTCCTGCTACACTGTTTAGCAATCAGTCTATGAACCCTGAGCCCATGGCTGCAAACGCTTCTTGATCCTCATCCTGCTCACCTCAATGATCAGCATGAACATGGAAATAGCTCTAGGCCTGCTGCACTGCGTGCCACCAGAGCAAAGATTGCACTGGCAAAATATGCCAGGAAGGAAATCATGGGCCAATGTTAATTCAAAGCGATGTCCCAGAATTCCTCAAGCTTCAGGCATACATGGCACAAAAAAAGTTTTATAATCTATGACCAGGACACAATAAAATATGTATTCCAAATACTGAACAACTAACGTGAAACACTGGCACGTGCACGCCAGTTTGCTAAGCTATCCAGTGTAGTCAAGGCCTTTATTATTCGTTTCAAGCTAAAGAAAACTTGAAAAAAATTCAGGAACTGGCCCATAAGGAATACTTCTTGTTTAAATTGGATTCCAGCAAATTTTCTTTGCTACAGAAAATATCATTTCTCTTTTCCTACTTAGTTGTGTAATATAATACATTATAATCACATTTAGCTGGAACAATAATAGTAGCACTTGCATAATAGGAACTGCAGAACCATTCTTGCTCAACAGCAGTAGCAGCAAAGTCATGTGAAGTTGAAGTAATGACTTTGCTGGTCTTAATGGCTTCTTCAAGTCTCGATTCAAAGGGAATGGGAAATAAGACTATCAGCGTGAATATTTTCCAGAGAGTTCCTCATAAATCCAGATGATTTCATTACTTTTCAGAAAGTATCTTTCAATTACATGTAAAGGAGCAGCTTCATATTACAAATGAAAATGCCACATATGCAACCAGAAGAGATTTTAGTTAGAACGTCTAGAGTTGATGCTCAATCTCAACTTTCATTTTGAAATTGCTGTTTCTATAACAACATGTAGCAGACAAGACCATATGATCAGTTTGCTTTCATTTAATCCATAAGAGACATTTCATAACAAAGGAATTAAAAAATATCTGCAGGCATTAAGTTAGTTTCAAGGGAAACTGTTTAAGTAGTAAAATATCCAAATATGTTTTAAATTGTAATTTTTTTTCCTGGTTTTAATTTAAATTGAAGAAGGATTCACAGCCATATTATCCAGCAGTCTGACATTTTTGTAGAATGCTGTAAGACACATGCTTTATGTACCTTCTACATGTTAGCTTTAAGTATACTCTGCAAACGTACAGACAACCTCCCAGCAAAGGCATATTAAGTTGGATTTTAGGTTCTAAGTTTATTGGTAACTTGGAGGAGCAAAATACCTTAGTAGAATATGGTTATTTTAAAAGGAAAAGCAAAACTGGGATATCGACCGAAACAGAGACTTCCAAGGAAACACATGAGGTAGCCTGATAGATCATTTTTTAAAATATTACTGTCATATTTTAGAATACGGATTTAGTCATTCTATAATTTACTAAAGTTTACCATTTCTTAACTGATACTGTCAACAGCTGGAAAACAGAATTATGGCAAAGTCTGACTTGTGCAAAAAAAGTGATTGAATAGGTAAGCAAGTAAACCTGTTTAAATATATATCTCAGTCTAAACATTTATTTAAAGTAAATGCATGAACAACTGGAAAAAAATATGGCTTTGTTAAAAGATATGGCACTAGCAAAAAGGTGTTTTTAATTAAGGAATCAATTTAAATCTTAGCCCATTAAAAAAGAAATCCTAACACTAACAGGTCATGTTGTTATACCTAGTTTAAAAGTTCCGTTTATACACAAGTCTCACTCTAGTTGAGAACGCAGTCATATTTTCCAGAAACTTAAAGTATCAGCCACCAAAAGCTGATATTGCTGTTGGAAGAAGCAGTTCTTTATTGCTCTATGTCCCTGCACTTTCCCAATCATAGCCTAGCCCCTTTCTTGTACCACACAAGCATTTGTGTAGCCATGTAGTGAACTGGATAAGGGAACTTAGAGGTAACCACAGTTGAAGCCAACCATCTCCCCTGCCCTCAAAATGAGCTTATTTTAACCCACATCAGTTCCCTTGTCCAATTCATCAGTCAGTTGCCCTAATGCCTGCGCTGGCATCAAGCAGCACAGCAGCCTGAACAAGCGACCAAACAGGAGGAATACTTCTTTCAGAATTGGTGTTGGCATCAAGCGTTCACAGTAGTACAGCAGCAGAATCCAGATCGACCTATGCTTAACACAGTTTCCAGATGTGTCTATGTAAGATGAATCCAGCTATGTCAATTGCAAATAGCATTAAATTCCTCATCCTTACGTGACATTAACTCTTGGTGACTGCACCAAAACCAGTTTTTGAAAGCATCTGTTCATTCTAACACTTGCTGTTCCAGAAGGTCCTTCCAATAACATTCCTAAATTGAACACTTAAATATTACCTCAAATTAAATACTTCATATTTCTTCAGCCAAATAGTAAGTAACATTTTATGTTTTAAATTCAGCCTTTCCAATCAGGGTATGAAAAGCAACAATAATGTCATCCTAGAGAACAGAACTTGCAAAGTTATTGTGCCCTGTACAAAACCAGTATTAAGAAAAGCAGCTTATTTTAAGGCACTAAAATATTTTGAACAATATTCCAGCTCTCCTCCTAATTAAGACTGTAGCCAAACAACACACAACAACACAAAAGCTTTTGTTAAAATTTCACCTTACTGAGGATAAAAGTCTACCAGAGCATTGCTAAGGGACTGTAAGCAATATATTTCCAAGGGCTGTCTTATGGAACTGTTATACAACAAGTTATCACTTTTCCTAAAGAAAAACATCCTCCTTTTTACCTCTCTGTTAACCAGTCTAATGCAATAGAAGGAGCTTACGTCCTCAGCTAAGAAATGTAATGTCCTTGCTAAAAAATTCACCAACTGAAAATTTCACTGAAGCATATCCCACCCACATGTTACCTATAAAGCATTCCGCATACCAGCAGCTCAGAGCCCAAATGACTGTAGGTGTATCTTAAAACAGAAAACAACCTCCTCCAAAATAAACAAAAAACCCAAATGAAAAAAAAACACCATACAACCCATTTTACCTTGTTGATGGAAACTGTTAATGCTGGCTCCAGTTTAGCCTCAGTTTCTTCTGGTGAGTAATAACAAAAGAGCTTGCCACCTCTTAGTATACAATACAGCCTCCTCCAGCTACTTAGACTCCCTATCATTTGCTAAAAGAAAGAAATAGTCAGAAATTGCCAAACAAACTACAAAATAAGAGCATCTTACAAGGTATACACGGATCAGCTCTGCGTGATCAAAACTTAGCCACACTGAATTCTTTCCTAAAACAAAGACTTTCTGTTGCAAAACATTTCAGAGTCACTGATTTTTGAAATGTTAGCAATATTTTAAATGTCTTTTGCAGTTTTCACAGATTTATTGCCATGTGACACTAACAATACACAATCTGCTGGTTCACATAGGATGAAATCTAGAACTGGTGTCTACTGTAAGAAAGAAACCACCTTTATTAGCTATAGTAACTACACAATAAGAGAAATAGAAATAGTATCTCACTTTGGAAATACACAGTACATTCAACAAATGTAAGCAAAGACTTGTCTAGAATTTCCACTTTCTCAAATGAATTTTCTGAACAGCTTTCAGAAATGCATTATAGTTTCACAACCAGTTTAAAGCCTGTAATTTAGCACTCCTGACAAATGACCCAGGTCCCCTGGCCCTCCGCTATCACCTTCTTGTTTGCCTAGTTGTGCAACAAACCAAAATAGAGAAGCAAACTGAGTTCACATGAATCATTTTTGAAGGGATGAGTTTAAATATGGCTCAGTTCACCAGCCAGATTCATCATGCTGCGATACGAACTCTTGTGCTAGCACAATGAGAGGTATGTACAAGGTATGAGAGCCACAGGATTATTAAAACTGCTGCTGTCAAGTACCAGCCTAAATCAATTTTGAAATAACAACTATACTTGATCTTTATGTAACTGCTTAGATAATTTTATTTCTAAACATGCCAAGGAAACATTCATTTCTTTGCACTTAGCCACTGAGGATACTGTTTGTAAATGAAGCTGCGAGATAGAATTTTCCCCTTGCTCTAAGTAGAACAGGAGAGAAATAACAGTTGTCAAGAAAACATTTCAGGTAAAAGCAAATGTTTTAACAATTGATTCTTAGTCACAGCTATTAACAGCCGAGGATGTAAACACAAGCAAGGTTGTCTTACCTGCTGATTAAGAAATCCTGCCATCATATCTCTAGCCATGCAGGAAGGCTGAGCAACTAAACGGCAACACATGCTTCCATACAGGGGGAGCCAAAAAGAGGATTCCCCTGGGGTGAAAAAAACAGGCAAAAGAAAGACAAACACTTAGTTCCAAATATTTGCCTCAAATATATAGTTCAGCTTTCCACATCCATTTTTACATTAAGATCATGAACGTAAATAAGCATTTTTTGTATTTAAAGAAAGAGATTTCATTCTGTGGGATTAGACTAAAACCGGGTTTTTTAGTCTTCAGTAAGTTTTTTAACTTAAAAACCAGAATTTTCAAAATAATTTCAAGTAAAAATTGAGATATTATTCTGCAGGAACAAGTTGTTCTTACATATGATATAGCTCCCTCTCATTGCTAGAAACATTTTGAAAGATAAATACACTGGCCACCTCATTTAAGTAGGATGCCTGAGCCCATTCCATCGTGGGACACAGCTACTTTTACATGAGCACTTTGCTTCACATTGTTTATTAAGGCTTAGAATTTGTATCTACTTCTGTCTTCAGCAGTAGAAGAGTATTTAGGATTCCAAGGAGTTTCTAACGAATTGCAATATCCCTCTTTGCTCAGCTCTGCTATATAATAAGCTCTCTCTTCTGTAATTAAAAGCAGGTAATACAACGTTCCATTGACATTACTCTGTCTTTGGTCATGTTTTAGAAATGCTCGTAATGAACCAAAATATCCAGGTATGTCATTTCTCACCAGATTAAGTTATGTAAATTGACGACAGAAAAAGGAATTTGCAGAAGAAAGAGTATAAAGTACTAATAAAGGCTTACAAATATCAAAGATACTCAGAATTACTCATCCAACCCTTCAAGAAACAAATGTCCCATAAATCTTCAATGTACTTATGTACATAATGTATTTATTCAGAACTAATGAAGTGTAAAGAATTAAATTCTTTGAGGTCAAGTTAACCCAAGTAAAAGGCAAAGTTCCCAGAAGCTACAGTGACATACAGTGAAAGTTGCATGTCTTAACAATTAGAGGGTGGCTTATGGGAGGGGCTATCCTTTCAGAAAATAACAGATGAAGTATCAAAAACTCTACTCGTGCTACTTAAAACATTACCTTTTGCAGCATAATCATAGTCCCTCTGTTAGCATCTATGTTGAGTGCTGCTAACTGGTGAGGTCCCAGAGCTGAAGTACAGCTGCCAATGCAAATTACAAGCACACATGCTTATGTGCTGTGCTAAATCTGGGCCTCAACCAACCTAGCTGAACTGAAGCTATTTTACTACTTTCCTTCTGACTACAGAGGAAAAAGCTGTTCTTCATTCTGATACCCTTCCTTGGTTGTGAGGAAGAGGAAACAATTTATATGTAGCTACAGCTCACCTAAGACCAAGATGCAAATGACAGAATAAACTCCCACAAGAATTAAATTTTCATCTGGACTTGAAATTTTACTCAACTTACAGTTTATTCATCCGTGTACAGGTGCCTGTTTTAGAGCTGTTAAATATTTTATTAAAGTTGTTCTATATTAAGTATCAAGAAAAATAATCTCTTTAAGCTCTTCAGTTTACAAGAGAGAAAAAGGCAAAATGTTGCTGTTTTTTTATTTCCTTAAATTGGTACCATGTGTACTTACCATTTCCTGTAATGGTAAGGCTGTGGGTCCTGAAATTGTCCTCAACACTCTCCAGCCCTAAAATGGTATATGCTAGCAAACTGTACTTTGCTCCACTAAATGCGAAAGAAAAGGCAAGTTTAAGACATTTCTCCATGTTGCTCAGGCAGTAATTAAAAGGAGTCTAGACATGCCTGAGATAACACATGTGGGTCCAAGGTAACGCCAAGGTGCAAGGCAGCACCTGTCAGTGACCACAGATTGCCACCCCCCAACCGCTTTCCACATAACTCCCGTATCTCTGGTTTTCCTTGTAAACCAACGCCATCACACAGTCTGTTCATCTGCTTCCTATATCCTTGTCTCCTGCCTCCACCCTGGGTGTACTTCCAGTTTCCTCTCACCCCACAACTTCCAGGCCATGAGGCTCCATCAGGTGGCTCTTTCCATAGCCCCCCTTCTGGGCCCTGCCAGTCAGGAGACTTCACATGTGGCTGCTGCCTACGAGCTGGGCTCATGCTCACTGCTGAGCCAGCAGCTGCCAAACCCAGGTGTAAAGGCTGTGCTATCCAACCTCTCTGCACCCTGAGGATGCTAAAAGCATCTCTCTCCTCTAGTCAGGCACCAAGTAACTTTTATTAGTTTTACAGCTTTTATTCCTAGGCCTAAATCAACTAGATTTGGTAATAGGTTCAAAAATTGCTATAGTTAATAGAACAGTGGATGACACAAACTTTATCTGAAAATACAGGTTAAAAATTAAAAGGCTTTATACTGCTTCTCCATGTTGCTCTGCTCTTTTGTGTTGCCTGTGTTAGACTACACTTCACAAAGCAGTTGTTTATATATGCATTTTTCAATAGTATCTAATAGCTTGATTCTTTGCATACAGAAATCTGCGCAGAAATCCTACAGTGAGCTTTGTAGCATAAAGGGCTCTTTCACTTATTGTGCTTACAGGTTTCAGAATGTTATATCTCTGTTTTGGATTTTGCCTAGGGAAAAAAATATCACATTTACAATTCAGCACGGTACATGTGGAATGCAATTCTTGGAATAAACTAGTATAAATTTGGTACATGTTTAACCTTTTCCCCCAAATACTCTTCAGACCAAGTAACAGATTTACAGTCCAGCAATGCAGTAAGAATTCCACCTGGCTAATGGCAGTTTAAACAAAGTTCACAAGAAAAAAACCCACCTCAAAATCACTAACTACTCTCCCTAACAGGATCTAGCATAAGATCCTTAAAATATCTTCAGTACAGCATAGGATAGCTTAGTGGTGTAAAGGGTGAGGAGACACTACTGACTAACATCACTAAAAAATAGCTTTCTATCATAGTATTTTTCAAATGTTATTTTTCCTAACAGCACAGTGGGAACACACAGTTTTAAATCTTTGGCTCCGCAGAGGAACAAGGCAGATGTCTATCTAGACCTAACCCTAATGAAAGAGGAGGAGAACCAGGAAGTTTGTTACCAGGGCAGTCTCTTACACATCTATCTCAAGAGAATGAAGAAAAAATTAAATATGATCAACATTCTGGGTGAAAAACCACTGCTGTAAAACATTTCAAGAGGGCAATCTGAAAAAAAACCTCATCAGCATTTGTATATAGTCCCTGCTTGATTGTTCCCTAACAAAAGATTCTCCACTGATCACATTTTGCCAAGCAGTTGAGCAATACATTACCATTCTATTTAAACTGTACCAAAAAGTTCAGTTTCTTCTCACAGATAAAACTTCAGTGCTGATTTTAAACTTCCTTTTTTCTAAAGCATGACTAATTACCACAACAACTTTGCCAAAAAAAATAGCTACTTCACTTTTAAAATATGCTTCCAGTAACATTTTCATTCTAAAATATAACAATCATTCCTTTCAGCCAGCTGCAATATAATTTAGAAAAGTTTTATCTACAAATATTTTGCAAATTTAACTGGCTAGTCCGGATTGTTGACTACGTTCTGCCTCTACATCTCACAGAATTAGCTAACTGCCATAAATGGCAGTTTCTTTGTATAACAAATAATCTGCCTGCTGCATCTCATTCAGTACTTTGCATATCTATAGTACTCTTCCATGTAATAACTTTATTTAAAAAAAAAAAAACAGCTCATCTCCACAACATGCTTGTGGCAAAGCCTCATTGTTAAATCTGTTTACTGATCAAGAGACAGAGTAACCACACAGACAGTGGCATGGGAAGATGTAACTATATCACCCTTTCTATCAATGCATATTAATTAACACATCTGATTCCAGAATCTGTTCCTGAATATTAATCCAAATATTAGAAATCCCAATCTTAGTCTACTCATCCAGATATATAGAGTGGAGGATTTGAGGAAAAAAACTCACAACAAAAAAAGCCCCAAACTAATATACTCACTTTTCAAGCAGATGTTAAATAATAGAAGGTAAAAGCAAATGTAATCTTCAGGTACTAAAAAGAACCCAACCGTAAAAGTGAGGCCATTAGATCAGCCTATGTACTACTAGCAAAATATCACTATGAATTTGCCAATTCAAAGACAGGATGCCAAAGTCATGCCTGCAGCCCAGTGGAGGACAATACATAAAAGGCCACAATGACCAGTCCATGCATAGGCCAGTTCTGCAAGTGAATAAACATGCACTTCAGGGAGTCTCTCCAATGATTTATCCAAAGAGCAATCTAGTTACTCTGGAATTCAATAGTGTAACTGCACTAAACATTTTCCTTCTATGACAAATGTGAAAGAATAAAATAAAATTTAAGCTAGAATAGAAAACTTAGCAGGCAAAAGACTGTATAGAAATGAAAAGAGAAATAATTAAGAGTAGAGAGAATATCAGTATAACTGAAGATAACCAACCTAAGCAACCATTCAAAGCACTGTCACTAAGCTTTTGCAAGAAGTTACAAGGCTGACAGTTTCCTCACTAACCAGGGAGATTTCTAAGCCAATAATTTTGACACAGAGGGATCACAGAGGTTTTTGAAAACAGAGAACTTCACCTGTGCGTGCTCTGAAAAGAAAAAGGCCTGTACAAATAAAAACTGCAAAGAAAAGGTTGTTCATATAATACAGAATATTCCCTTTTTCGTTGCAGTTTAATTTCACTTGCTGGACTGTGAACTCTCTGGGAATATGTGAAAGATCTCTTGTAATCTTTGCAATCTCTTCCCCTTTATAAGGGCTACATACCAAGGTCTTACTAAAATAAATCCTGTGGGGAGCCTACCAAAAAAAAAAATGTGACAACTTATTTTCTGCCTATAATAACCCATTTCTTTCCAAGATCTTTTCTAATCACCTAGCAAAGCCATCATTAAATGCATCATTGTTCATTTAACTGTTAAGAAAGTAACGGTCACAGTGAGATGATTATTTACCATAGAAACAACAAACTTCAAGATGGAGGAAAGCAAAATACAACTACAATTGAGAAACCAAAAGCAAAACCCGAGGGAGGAAGCAGCTGTTTAGATTGTCCGCTGATGCTTCTTCCTTAAAAGACAAGCAATCTATATGCAAGCAAGTATGGCCAGCAAATAAGTTAGTGGTTATATCTGAAGCAAATGGTATCTAATGATAGTGTGTCATCGCCCAACTGGAGATCATGGAAAGCATAGCCACCTGAGATGATGCAGACTGAAAGGTATGTTTGGTAGAACACACTGGAAGGTTAGTGATAAAATTTGCTTTGCTCTGTGGATAAGATCTCTTGGATGTGTATTTTTGGTTGAAACAGTAATATCAGTATACAGTAATAGCAGTTTGACAAAGATAGAATATGCTTGAATGTCTCCTTTTAAAATCCAGGCAAATAGGTATGTGAAGCTAGACTAAGACTACACTCAACACCTGGCAAGAATTAGGCATTGATTCTTTACTATTCAGCTGCAAAAAAACCCCAAAGTAATTCCTTGAAAAAATTGCTCTCTTAAAAAAAATTCTATTAGTATTTACAATTTAGGTACTTGGCCCAACAAAATTAAAGTATCTGGGAAAAATTAGTAGGCAGTTAACTTCATTTAAAAATGCATGAAAGACTTAAGATTGTTTTTAAAAGGAAACAAGTAAATTACTGGGAACAGCACACACTTCTATGAACACTGAAAACCAGTAAGTCATTTTAAAATGTTCTGTGATAAAGTCAATTAACAAAACTCCTGTTAAGCAGCATGTAACTGTAAAGTGCCTTTGACAGCCCAGAGTTTTACTTGAAAGCCAGCAAGTGGAATGGCCCCCATGTGCACAGCGTGCACTCCAGGCACAACAAACAGTTCAGTCAGCTTCATGAGAGGAGAGGGTACAAGAGAGGTTTCTTCTGCTTACGTATCACTTTTTTTTTTATTTCACACAACTTGTAACTTTTGGACATGTCTGCATGTTTGTCAAGCAGGAGCAAAATTGTCTAGGTGCAAAAATAATATGGGGGAGAGAGTAAATAATATGGGAAAGGGAGAAAGCGGTAGATGGACAGAGGGACACAGACTTATCGTACAAGCTTGATTTCGTCCAGAGAGCAAACTAAAAATATTATAGAGTTTGCAAATAACAGTGGATTTATCAGCTAGCTAGCTTTGAAGCTGAAAGATAAAGCCTACTTGTGTGTTTCAAGATCAGAACCAGGCCCCAAGGCTAAGCAACACAGTTGGAATTCACACCTGCTTTCTAATTTCCCATTCAAAATATTTTTTTTTCCCACTCTAAGTACAGTAATAATCACCTTCTTGGCAATTTTCAAAAAATTTACAATATCTTTGGCTTATTTCTATTTTAAAAATAAAACGACAATATCAATATATACGGCTTACTGGATGACCAGGTCAGCAGGCAAAAGGGATTCAGTGCTGTCTTCTTCCAGCACAGCTCTCAGTTTCTTCCCTGTAGCTTTGCTGAGGGATGTTTTAAGCTTCTTTGCTAGTTTCTTAGGAGTGTTTGTTATATATAAAGACTCGTCTGTACAGCAACTATACACTTCAACCTTCACCTGGAAATCTGGTCCTGCTTCATCACTGAAGGGGAGGATGAGAAAATTTCAGAGCATTTGTTAATAAACTGAGTATGTCCCCACGGAATGCTGCTGATATTTTTTATTTTTATATATATATATATATAT